TTAGGAGACACACTGCTCTTGTGAAGGACCTGACCAGTTCCCAGCACCCATGTCGAGTGGCTTACAACCACCTGTGACTCCAGAGAGCTCCAATTCCTCTGGTCTATGTAAGAACCTGCCCTCATGGAAACATATAGAAACACACACAGACGTATACACACACTCACACAATTTAAACACAGATAAGATAGGAGTGTAACAAAAGTTCTGACATTCATATTCTAGAAGTAATTGAAGAAATAATGGGTGAAAATTTCCCAAATTCAGAAAAAGATACAACCTATATATTCAAGAAAATGAATGAGCCTAGAACAGAATGAACCAGACAAATGTAGAGTAAGACATATCTTAATCAAACTCCTTGAAAACTGAAGACAAGAAGGAAGATTTTGAAAGGAATGGTACTATCTTACAAAGGCAAAACACAGCAGATCTCCATCAGAACCCACAAAGTATAAAGGGACACAAAAGGCTGAAAGAAAGAACCTATATCAGCCTAGAATTCTATACCCAGCAAAGATGTCCTTTAGCGAGGGCTGGAGAGATGGCTGCACATGCATGAAGAGCTGCGTTTGGATCCCCAGTATCCATATAAAAGGCCTGGCAGTGATACATCTGTAACAGTGGCTGGAGTTCACTGGCCAGTCAACCTAGTTATTCTGTGAGCTCCAGGTTCAGTAAGAGCCCAAGTCTCAAACATTAGGGTGCCACGCAATTGAAGAAGGCGCCCAGTGTCAACCTCCATATGCACGCATATGCATATAAACCCACACTCACATATGCACACACCTACAAAAACATGAAACATGCTATATATACATACATACACGCATACACACACACAAAGATAGCATGTCTTTCAAAATTAAAAGGGGAACCCAAACAGTCTAAATGCCAGACTGAGGAGAAACCAGAAGGCTGCTACCAGCAGACCCACCCCAAAGCATGACTCCAGAAAGTTCTCTAAACAGAAGTGGGAGGGATGCTTAAGACATTGCTTGGTGTGACAAATGAACTTCGACTGGGATAGCCTGGGACAGCCTACTGTTTCATCAGGGGGGTGCCCTGGTGGACACTCCAGAGAAACACAAGACGAAACAATTAGAGATGGCTTACTGTCGTACTTGAACTTGTCCCATACGAAGTGCTCTGTGTGCATTCCCTCATTCCTCCTCCCTAGAGCCTTTGCAGGAGATACCAGGAACCCTGTTCACAGGTGGAAAGCTGGATGTTTGCCCATGCCTAAAGGACAGAGCCAAACTCTCCGGCCAGGCTGCCGAAGCTCTGCAGACATTTTCTCTCTGTGTGCATGATGGGCAAGACTGCTTCAAAGGAAGAGTTTCTCTGAGCACGAAGGAAGTGAGCACACCCGCTTCTGGAGAGCAGCTTGATCTTTTCAAATGGAAGACAGTAGCTTGAGGTGAATAGTGGGAGAAGAGACAGGAGAGGTGCTGACAGGAGTGGAGAAAAGGACAGCGTGGATACAGAGGGTGAGAGCCTCCTACAGTTCAAGATGGAGTGCCCAGACACTAGAGGGTCAGACCTGAGCTGTGGGCACCCTTGAAGCAGGAAGAACGCGGGACACTGAGTGGCCAGCTGGAGAAGGGTCAGGACTCATTTTTCCATGTGGCCTTTATTTTACATAGTCCCCAGTGGTGACCTTGGGGGAGTCTAACATAGTCACATCACGATGAATGGGGAGCTAAGCTCCACCCCTCTCTAAATTCAGAACCAGCAATGCAAAATCAAGATTAAAAACAAGCAAATTGAATTTTCTCTTTTTCAAGCATGAGGGTCAAAATGAGATGAGAACCAGGCTCCTCATTCCTTTCGTGGGACTTACTAAGTGGTCATGGCGGCATGCCCATCCCTGTGCTGGTCTTGCAGATGGAACTAAGCAGGAGGTTTTGGCCCACTCTAGGGAAATAAGCATTTATCAGTTATCTGTGTCCCCTACACACCCAGCTACAGTAGGATTAATTAGGTGTCATTTGTCTGGCTAGAACAGGCTTTCTGAATGTTGAACCTTAGGCACCTGTACTGAGCCTCTCTGTCCATCATTATCCCATGGGCCGCATCAGGGCCACCATCATAACTTCCTAGCTCACCCCTAACACACGTGATGTCTAACTCCTCTTCAGAGCCTGCACCTCCACTTTATTTACATACAGAATAAAGTTAAGTCGCTGAGTTCAATGCAGGGGATAGAACAAGCCAGCCCCCCTACTCCTGCAGAATACAGAGGGGAGACTCATTGCTCCCTCTGAAGAACACCACCCCTTTGCAAACACACTTTCAGAGACCATGATGGCTTAGCCAGGCCAGACTGGCCTCTTGGTCCTCGTCTATGAGACAACGGAAAACAAAGCAAATGAAAGAAGACCATTCTAAACATCCACCGTTCTATGTGAAAGGTGCGTCTCTGAGAGCCCAGTGAGCCTGTGGTAACACAGGTAGATTCTAATGTGAGCAGAGGGCCCGACCCCATCTACGTCTGGCAGTGTTCACCCCACACATACAGAAGACAACCCGAACCACTGAAGTGTTTTCATCACGGAAATGTGGCATCCAAAACAGCGGTGAAAGCTACACTTTTCAAACCGGGTAGACTAGAGCGAACCTCCATTTTATTTTTAGAACAGTGCCCTAGAATGTGTATATTGCACAATAAACGTGAACATCCTTTAATATATTGAAATAAATCCCATAACAACACTGCTTTTTTTCTGTCCAGGCCTTTTGAGCTTGGTGTGAAGTCTGTTCTCTCTTCCATTCACTGACAGACTTCCTTCCCAGTCACCCAGAATAACTCCATCGGTAAAATATTAGCATACATAAGTGGGTGCTCAGTAAACATTTGTTGAATACATGAATGAATAATTATAAAATACTGGATGAAAGCCCCCTGAGAGGTTTGCATTCGATTACAGAACAATGTGCTTGGATATTTAGGTGCCCACACTGAAATGGAACTCAAGAATAGTCCTGGGGGAGCAGTAAAATATTAACCCATTTCTGTCTTAATAAAATAGAATGAAGTCCAAGTGCGATGCCTATGTGCCTGAGGAGGGCTTCGCTTAAAATCAGAGCACAGTCTTCAGACACGTTAGAATTAAGCTATTCGTGCTATTACGTTACAAGGCTACTCAACAAACGCTGATATGCTTGTTGTTACAGGATCAAAAGGAAAGAATCATATATTAAGTTGAATTGTTCATTTTGGAAAACTTTATCCATACAATTTCTCAACTAGAGCTATATGAAAAACTTATTTGAGGGAGAGTTATTGATACCCAGGTAACAGCAAACACGCGAAAAAAAACTTTTTTCGTTTTAAGATACATAGCAAGTAGGCCAGAGAGAATACATTGGTAAGAAACTTTGTTCGATAAAGCGACTAATATTTACCAAATCTGAAGCACAGTTAAAATAAAAAATGCAGTTCTATTACTAACAAAAAAATTAATATTTAAGGTGTATTCTAACATCTTTGTTTTTTAATATGCTTTCTTCTATTATTCTAGTTAAAACAATTAATGGTTTGGCTCAAGTTTGGTGCTTTACTGAATCCGCGACAAAGAACCTAAGAAATAAACGTGCAAATATTAATTCTCTTAACTTGAAAGGGAGAAAATGCTCTTAAACCAAATCCGCAGTGGCAAAGGGGTGTTTTTAATGGCTGCGAAGCTAAGAAGACAGTTAGGGAATCTGAGCTGACCCACCGCGCTGCCTTTTCACTCCACGTGGTTTTCAGCGTGGACTTGAACGTTCTGCGGCTGGGCATGCAAGCGCCCCTTTCCAGTGCCCATTACGCTGCCCTTGGCTTGGCATCCGTTTCAGGGACATCCGCAGGAGAGTGGATGAAAGAGCACACACAACAAAGGTGGTCGTGTGGGAAACCACACAGACACTATGCGACTTCACTTCAGTAAACATCACAACGTTGGTTAGTTTGTTTTTAAAGAGGTGGAAGAAAATTCTTCAGCTTTCTAACTTCACACACCTGCGCTCGTGCGCCATAAAATAGCCTTTGCGCACCAAACGCCATTTCCAGGATGGCTGGGGTGTCTCTATAATTTTATAAACCATCCCCGACAATTGATCGTTGAAGGCGTGCATCGACAGGATAGAACGAACAATTTGTTTTTGTCTAAGGATCACAAATCGATGGTTACGAACTCAAAACAAAAGCATGGGTCTCAGAACATCTTTCAGCCTCCCCCAAATGATCGGCACTCGGGTGGATATAGAATATATGAATTCCTGGTATCCTCTCGGTCCACAAGATAAAAAGAAAATGAGGATTGCAGGGGCTCATCATCTAAACCCACAGCTCCCACTCTGGAATACCTCTGATAATGAGGTGGCCCACAAAAAAAAAAAAAACAAAACAAACAAAAAAAAAACCTGTCTGTCTGTGAGCCTCCCCTATTATAAAGCTGATGTTTAAAAGCAAAACTCTCACACAATGCATCATAACCAGGCCTCACAGCAAGTTATTTATTAGTAAGGAATTAGATAGAAAAGTGTGTATATATATATATATATATATATATATATATTAAGTAAAACACTGAGTAAAATTTTTAAAAAGATCGATCAACTTTCTCCATAAAAAAAAAAAACATTTTGAGAGATTCAAGATACAGTATTGTTGAATAAAACCTTAGTCAACTCAAAACTAATGACATTTTTCCCTCCAGCTACTTCACATACAGCGCACAGCTTCTTCCCCAAAAGGTTTACACTGCTATTCTCTACCACTCCAGCCATTTCTGCCAACATCATAAAAATTACCTTTGCTCATTTCCTCCTCACAACGCGAATTCACCGACCACAAACATCCCTGCACAGACACCTACCCACCCACCTCCCCACCCACCTCCCAAAAATGGTTCAAGCAAGACACACACAAACACACACACACACACACGTGCGCGCATGCACGCAACAGACACACACACACACACACACAAAAAAAAAATAATGACCAAGCTCACAGTTCCTGTTTGCCCTTCAAGCGAAGTCGGGTGTCTTCAGCTTGCCTTTCTGGTCTTCGGTATTGTCACTAATTGCTGGGGGTGTAGTTTAGGATGGCATGAAGCTGCAGAAATCAAAGCTGTGGCTTTAAGACATCGTTTTCTCAAACACATGGATGAAACAACTTTGACTTGGACTCCCTGGCCAGGTTGCCATAAAAATCTTAGAAAGACTCCTTGAAAACTCAGTATCTAGAAATGGGAGGATATTAAGTAAAATGAAAGTATTTAAATCTAGAAGCTGCTGCTCCAAACATAACTCCGAGGATGTCTGATTGGATTTGAAAGCAGGTTTGTATTGATGAGCAAAGTTTATTCTGTAAAAAACTACAATTCTCTCTAATAAGACATTCTGTTTGCCATCTTCTACAGTAATTCTGTTTCTCACGGTCATGATCATACATGCAAAAAAAAATAAAATAAAATAAAATACATTATTTCCCAAATGCATGGACACTGGGGAGGATGCCTTTTTTGAAATAGGCTATTTTTTTTCCTGAATGCTGGTGACTAAATGTCATAGTAAGAGCCAACACTCTCAAACAGCCCAAGAGACTTCAAAAGCTTTCTAAGTTTGAAAACCAAAAAGTTGTGAGTTTTCCTGTATCCCGGGACGTTTTCCTTTCTGAAGCTCAAGCCGAGAAACAGACAAAAGAGACTGATGCGACCGAGCTCTGCCAAGTCTTGCCTTTTCAAAATTTCCTCAGCTCTCCCTCTGCCTCTCTCTCTCTCCCTCCCTCCTTTCTCTCTCTCTCTCTCTCTCTCTCTCTCCCTCCCTCCTTTCTCTCTCTCTCTCTCTCTCTCTCTCTCTCTCTCCCTCTCTCTCTCCTGTCCCTCTCTCTCCCTCACTCCTTCCCTCCCAGTATGGCAACCTTCCGAGCAGTCTTGGCAGAGGTCCAGGCTATGCCAGTCTGTCTGAATTCTTGTCTCCAAAGGATGTCCTTTGCGGATCAATTAATACATCTGAAAACAGGAAGCTGTGGGGCAGTACCCAGATCCTGGCATGACAGCACCGGCTGCTGCCAAATCACCTTACAGATTTCCTGGTGCCCTACCTTTCCCAGGCATCACTAGCATGTTCCCCGCAGTGAGCTAACGTGTTCGCTGCTTGGAGATGGGGAAATCTGTTCTCTAGAAATGTCCATATGTGACATGTGCTCAACCTGCAAACAAGCTGAGCTCCCCTATGAGGGGAGATGAATGGAACTTTAGGAACACTCTCGTTATACATTTGCTTCCCCTTGCCCTGCTGCAAAGAATCATGGGAGAGTAGAAAAGGAGGCATGGAGATTAAAATTTAAACTGTCACGCCTCATCCTCTGGTGAATAAACATGGCTCTGGTTGATCATTTACTCTTATTTTTAAGGAAACAGTATGTAAACTATACTTACTAAAATTCTGCTTTAGGGAGGAAAAAATAATAAATCCTTTCAAAACAGAAATATCAAGGAAAGAGGAAGATAAAACATTAGCAAGACTAGTAATATATATGTATACATAGATGACCACATAGTAACATCTGAGTCTTAGCCATTACTTGTTTTCTAAATTTGCGGTAATGGTAACTGAATAAGCATACATATCTTATTTTCATCTGTAGCATTGTGCACTTTTGGAAACTAAATAGCCAGGTAGAACTTCACTCTTTTACCTGGTTAAAGAAAATATCTTGCTTGATTGGTTGGCAGCATCAATAATTGAGACTTAGTACACCTAAGCTCTGGAATGACCAGGCTTTCACAGAAAGTCAAGAAGTCTGAGTCCTCATCCTTGGGTCTGTTGCTTTCTCATTTGGATAACCTCAAGGTCACAAACTTGCTTAATCTGTTCAAGTCTAATTTTCTCATCAACTAAGAAGGGTCAGAAAGTCATGAGTGACTCACTCTCTGGGCTCCTAAAATATCTTTTCATATTCAGGTCACCAACTAGATGTGGCATCATCACAGACAAGGTTATGTGTCACTTGCCTAGGAAAAGTGAAAGTCTTCCAAACCCCTCCAGACACAGTGTTCAGCAAATCTGCTAAGGGGACAAGTCATGAGAAGAGAGCACACAGGCGTCACTCTGAAGTCCTATAAAACTGTGCACACACACACTGCTAAGTCACAAAGCTGACAGATCAAGGGGATCCTACAGAAACACCATGAGGGCTAAATTAAAACACTAAAGAAACCAGGCAACATGTTAGCTATTCTTTCAAACAGGAATAATGAAACAAGGCTAGGACCGCAGCAATTTTAAATCCACAATCAAACTGTTGCCGCCAAAGTCAAAGAGAATCTTAAAAGCAGCAAGAGAAAGGACTCATTAAGGTACAAGGGAACCTGAATAAATAAACAACAGGATTCCTCAAAAAATACAGAGACTAGAAAGAAGTGGGTCAACCATTGGTTGTCCATAAGAATTTGCCGATAGACTATTGCTGAAGACACAGGTCACATGACAGAGAAATCATGCTGGTACTGACATAGAAGCTTCCTCCTTGTTAGCTGGACAGACTGTCAGAGGAAGAAAAGTCATCAACAGTCTTGCCAGCTGTGAACCCTGTGAACTATAATAACAGTCAGCATGGTAAGTTACGCACACCACTGCAACCATGGCATGAATGCTATGGGAACAACCAATCACTTTCTTATTGAGTCCCACTCAATAAAAGGGAACTCATGCCTGGAATTGTAAACTGGACCAAGAACCCATAACTAGAGATGCCTTAGGCCCTAGGAAAGAAGTTATTATTATTATTATTATTATTATTATTATTATTAATTATTATTATTATTTTGCTGCATAGCATCAAACTGCCTTCTGAATAAATTCTTTATCTGTATACTCATAGATTAGTGTGGCTCCCACCCCTCATCAGAGAAGCTTCCTTTTGCTTGAAGGCCTTGTCTAACCTTGTCACCACCAAAGCTCCACTTCCACATCCCATAGTTACATCTCCACTTTCATACCTCACAATGAGGATTATGGTCCAAAATGTGTCTAATGGGGACATTCAAGCTATGGTAACAACTAAAGAAGAACTGACAAAGACTAGGGAAGAAGCAAGGGAAGAGAACAGAAATCAAAACACTCAGACAGATGTGAGGATGGGACCTGATATTGGCCACATGGTCAGTGTCTAAGAGAGGAGCTACCCCAGGAGTAAATGAGTGTGTGATCAGCATGGGAATGCTAGGGGACACAAAACAAGTACAAAAGCAGCATTTCAGGTTCGCCAGTAATCAACAACAGGTGCAGAGGCACAAGTCTGTCATCCCTAGCACATGGGAGGTGAGGTGGGAGGATTGGGATGTTGAGGATGTTCTGAGCTACACAGAACAACCAATGAAGCAGCAACGGGGTAAATATCTAGCGGCACTATGTTGAAGAGATGGTTGTACTAGTGTGTTAATTGTAGCAGTCTCCACAATAGTCAAGGGGCCCCATCAACAAATGGGTAAAGAAAATAAGACATAGACTCAAGTCGGAAGACTACTAATTCTTTAAAAGTAAGAAAATCCTGTTAACTAAAACATAGTGGATGAACCTGGAAGGTACCCAGTGAAATAAAATAGACACAAAATGATGGACACCTGCCACTCACTTCATCGTGGGCCCCATTAAAGGACACTGAAGCCAAGAGTACAACGCTGGTTTCCTGGGGCTGAGATGGTAGAGAGGGAGGGATTAAGGAAGATTGTCAAAGCGCATGACCGTTCAATCCAATCAGCAGAGAAGTTGAAGAGCCCGCCTGCTCCTCACCACAGCTGTAGTTCTGAACAACACACTGTGCTTTCAGGGAGCCTAGGGTAACCCCACAGCATTGCCGCCACACACAGAATAAGCAAGTGAGGTGATGTGTATGCTGATTAGTCTGGCTAGGCCACTGTGCAGAACATGCATATTTCAAAACTCATCTTGTCCTCCATAATTATACTTTTATGCCAATTTCAAAAAATAATAAAATTAAAAATAACACCACAGACCAACATCTCTTATAATTATAAGTGAGAATTTTCTGAACCAAATACTAGTGAGATCCTAGCTGGATCCAGCAATGTAGTCAAAAGATTGCCAGCCTTGACCAAGTGCATTGTACCTTGGGAACACAAGGCCTGTTTAACACCAAGAAGCGGGCAACACAACACATCGCACTGGCAAAATAAAGAAAAGACACCACATGATCACCTCTGTGGGCACAGGAAAGCATTTACAAAACAGGCTTTGTGAGTTCAAAAAGAAAAGAAGCATACAGTCAACTGGCTGGAAAAAGAAAAAGAGAAAGAGGGGGAAGCGGGAGGGATAGAAGGAAGGGGCAGAGGAAGAGGAAAGAGGGAGGGGAGAAAGGAAGAAAATTATTTTTTTTTCTGTAATAGAAGTGAAATAACCTATAGAACAGGAAAGCATTTGCAAACCATGCCTCTGATAAAGGTCAGTTATTCAGAATTTAGATTTGTGTTTCATTTTGTTTTTTTCAGTCTTAAGATTCCCCCACAATAAGGGTCTGGAGAGATGGCCTGGCCCCTGAGAGAACTCACCACTCTTGCAGAGACTCTAAACTCTGTTCCCACTGAATCCACTTTTTTGGCTCACAACTATCTCTAACTCCAGCTCTGAGGGCTCAGATACCTCTTCTGGCCTCCTTGGGCACTGCACTCACACGCACATGTGCACACGTGCACACACACAGAGTTGGAAAAAAAGTCTTTAAAAAATTAAGCATAAAGGGTTTTTTTTTTTTGAGGCAGCTGATCCACTCCTGGATAACGCCTCAAGAGAACTTTAAAACCCATAGGCACAGCTTGTGCACAGATGTTTGGAGTAGCATCATTCACATCAGTCAGAATAAGGACAATTCAGGAAGCTCTAAGCTAGCCAAGTATGATATAAACACATGGTGGAATATTACTCAGCAATGAAAAGGATGAGGCCCTGATATACTCTACAAGATGGATGAAACATGGAAGTGAGGTGGAGCCAAAGAAGCCAGGGATGAAGGTGCATGTATTATATAGCTCTGTTTACATAAAAAATCCACAATGGACAGATCTGTAGACACAAGGTTTTTCATGGTTGCCAGGGTCTGGACAGAAGGAAGGATGAGTGAGTGGTTGCAAATCAGTTTGGAGTTGGAGCTACACAAGCAGCGAGCGAGCGAAAGTCACAGGCTGAACAAGAGAACATGGTAAGTTTTGGGTGCGCCTGCTATCTTGTCGTTTTAAAAACATATCATCTCTCTTCAATGTCTACAAGTGCTCTGACTGGTCACTTGAAATAGCCATGGTGGCCCTTTTGGCCTGCTACACAAAAGGCTTGTCAAACACCAAGGCCCTCTGGAATCTACTCCCAGATGCACCCAGCAGCTCTAGCTCCTAGTGCTGCTTCAGCCTCTTAGTTTGGTCCCAGCTGACTCCAGCATTTCCAGCTCCACCCACATAGGGTTTCTCTGCCCACTCTCAGGGGCTGGTCTCCTTGGAGAACACGAATACTGGCTACCAGGCACTAAGGAAGTCAGAGTGTTGACAGCCAACATCTCTCATGCACTGTGTCCTCTCTTCCCAGAACACCTCGTTCTCCACACACAGCATCCTGGCAGCTCCTCGAGCTTCCTTCAGTCC